TCCGAATGTGAAGTGCAATACGAGAAGAAGATAGAAGCCTCGTCGCAGTTGTTGTGTGTGCCGTGCAATTTGCACGGTTTGCATAGGGAGATCTAATTTTCCCTCGTTGTTTGTGTGGGTGTGCGCCGCGTGCCGTGTGTGGGTGGCCCTCTCTCTTTTTTGTTGTTGCGGCTGCGTGGGGTCGTGTCTCTGCCTGTTTTTTTTTTATAATTTCATTCTCCCTTTTGACTGCTGGTTGAGTATTGTGCTGCAGTTCAACTCAAGTTAACCACTACGAAGGAAAACATGTCTGAGAGACGCGAGGAAGAATCTCACGCCACCGAGGAGCCCCCGCACAGCGCCGAAGGGTGGAGGGAGCGCCGCAGAGGCCAAGGAGGACGCTATCGAGCTCTATCGAGGATGTCCGTAATGTGCGGGTTGGTCAAAGCAACGGAATTTTGCTGAACGACTTCCTTCGGCAGTACGTTGGCCCCAACAGAGCGGTGGGTGAAGACCAAAATGTGTCAATGGAGGTGTTTCTGCAGCAGCCCGCAGAATACGTTACAGACCAGAGGCTTCTTCGAGAAATTCTCAATTCCACCAGGGTATCAGCTTTTTGAAGATGCACGCATGCTTGCAGAGAAAGGTGTGTTTTCTCTCAAGCAATGGAAGGAATTTGGACAGAAAAATACGGTTCCCCTTCGTACAAAAGGCAGACTCGATGCAGCTCTTCAGCAGGCGGAGGATGCAGAGAAAGAAAGGTGGGAAAACGAAAAACCTCCCAGACAACCATTACCGGAGGGATTCTACGAGTCCGTGTTTAACGCAACGTGGAGTCACGTCATGGGATTTCCCGAGGACGAAGGGGAAGACGTGGTGGTGAGAGAGGGTCAACGGCCACAAGAGTTATTATGGGAGTACACGCAGACTGTGCGTACTTTTTTCTCAGTGGGTGGTGATGAGCAATTCCGTCCACCACGCCCACGACTCATGATCCTTTCCTCTGAAAAGCGATGGCCGTACTCGTTGAACCATTCAGTACGTATTACCGACTGCTACATTAACATTGAGGTGCATCGGGTGTGGAAGATCGTCGAGGGCGATCTAAAAGGAGTGTTTCCCCCCTCACGTCTAAACGCACCATACATGAGACGCCGTCTTTTGATTGGAACCCCCGGGATAGGGAAGTCAATGGCGGCTGACTCCTACCTCCTTTATCAGCTGCTGCAACACGGCGCCACAGAGCTCCATGTGGTTGTGTACTGCTTTGGAAGGAATTTCGCATACTTGTTTGACAATACGGCACGAACGGTGACAATATACGAGGGTGGGTGTAATATTGGAAGGGTTATGGTAAATTTGGCTAGGAGTGGAATGAAGGGGTATATCATCGTCGATATGGCAATACATTTTCGAGAACCATCGAATGATGTTGTGCTCTCCCATGAGTGGGGCGCCATTATGTTGTCGTCCCCGCACGAAGATAACTTCAAAGCATGGACGGAGCAGGCGGGTACTATCAAAATCATCATGAATTGCCCCGATGAAAACGACGTGAAGGCGATGTGTGCGTGGGAGATGCGCAATACGACTGAAGAGGAGCAGGCGGAGTATTGGAGAAGGATGCACATGCACACGCATGACGTCGGACCGATTCCACGATGCATCTTTCAATTCAATGAATATGAGGACCGCGTGGAGGAAATCAAGGACATCCTGGCAGGTATCGACGCTTCAAATGCTGTACATTATGGGATGGTTGGAGGTGTGGAAGAGTGGCCCTCGAATGACGCACCTCACAAACTTGTGAAAGTTGTCAGATTAGTAACACAAGGCGATGTTGAGGAGTTTGTTAACCTGCCGGCCTGTTTTTCCATTGAAAACAAATTAATTTGAAGGTTGCTCGAGGTGGATGAGGAGAATGACATTATTTTTCGACTATTGAAGTGCAGAAAAGAATTATTGGCAGACGCTTCGGAGCGGTACACTCTGCTCGCATTCCTGCGTAGAGTCTGTGTGGAAAATGTAATGCCGGGCCTCAACGAGTTGCCTCCACCAGGAAGTCGTCAGCAACAGAGATGTGTGCTGCAATCGAACCCCGAAAAGCATCCAAGCAGAACTGTTGCATTAATAGCGCTGGACCACACTCCTCCGATGTTGGATGTACAATACGAGGTGCTATACCTACCGAATAGTAGAAATTTTCTGTTTGTGGACGGCTTTTTCTTCGTTGGTGCACCGCGGAGGACGATGGTTGCGGTGCAGGTGAGACGGCGAGGGCTGAGCATGGCACCCAAGCCAGCACGGTGAGGCGGTTCAACAGTCTTCTACGGAGTTATTTTAATAACTGGGAAACTTTTGCGGAAGGCTTGTCGTGGGGGATTATTTACATGCATCATGAGGACAGTACGTCAATAAACGCGTGGCAGGGATGTGTTGTCGTCGCGCACGCAAATGTAACGGGCAGCAATGAGCGTGAGGACCCTCAGGCCATTGCGGCATTTTGGAATCAGCAGGTGCGTCAGTGCGAGGTAGCGGTATCGGCTGAAAGTTTCAGAAGTGAACGACAAACCCAACGTGGGCGGCAACCAGAGGGAGAAGGAAAAGGAGGAGGGGAACAAGCAGCTTGAGTTTACTGGTGAAGTATTTTAGGGAGTATTATGTATTGCCGAGTGTGTTTGTGTGTGGGTAGGAGGCGCACTTAGGGACTCGCTCTGCCGTGCACCAAATGATTATTGCGGCCAGCGCTACCACAGCAGCACCTTTTTTTTGTTGTGGTTGCGAGTAAAATTGTGTGGGGAATGATGGCGCCTTGTGGGTGTACGCCGGCAGTATTCCATTGGTGATATCTCCTCGCTGTTCCCAGTTTGTTGCTGCAGAGAGTTTGGGCGAGAGGGTAAGTTTTACATGCTGAGTGGGCTCACAGGCAGGGAAGCAAATGCGGCGCCACCACAGCCCAGAGGTCAGGGGCAAACCGAATTTCTGAAATTGTTTTGTGCCTTGGCGTGGTGTTTTCCCCTTTTGTTTTTTGGGTGCCATTGTTTTTGGTTCGTCTGTGCTCCAATGGGGGGTGCCGCATGCACCGCTGAGAGCCTCGAGCAAACGCCGTTGGCGCCTCTCTTTTGTTGGGTTGCCGTCCTGGGCGCATGCGCCTGTTCCGTCTTGGTCGGGCTGCATGTACTGACCGGGCAGTCTGAGGCTACGGCTGCGCTGGCGTCCCCCTCCCTTGCAAGCGGAACGAAGCAGCAGGAAAGGGGGCTACATGCATCGTTTTTTATTTTTATTTTTTAAAAATAAATTACGCCCCACTCCTGCTGCAGTGCGCTGAGGGAAGTGGCGGCGTTGGGGATTTTGTGGGGGTCGTGATGGGAGGTCCCGCCGTCATGCGCACTGCGTGTTGCTGCTGACGGGGTTTTAAGGGGCTGGGCGGGGGAGACGGTAAGCGACGTGTCCATGAATTAATTTTGTTGTTTGATTTATGCGGGGCGTCCCACACTGCGGACTCTCCGTGCGGGTGCGTGTGGGTGCTTTTTTAGGGCCGCGCACAACAGTCGCTGCTACCGCCAGCCTTCTTTGCGGCTGCCGTCTCTTATGGTGGGCTGCGAGT